TATATATATATATGTGTGTGTGTGTGTGTTTGTGTGTGTGTATATATATATATAATCTCCTTTCCAATTACCAGGTAGCCTTCTTCCAAATTTCTAAGCATAGATTGGTAAACATGTCTAGTACTGCAAATGTTTACTGAAATACCTCAGTTAGTATTCCATCAGTTCCTAGGGCCTTATTTTTTACCAGAGCTTCAGTGATGTGTGGACTGTTTTCTTCAGTACTGTTACTCCTTAATAAAATGCTACTTCCTAAATGAGTTCAGTGTTGACAAATTATTTTTGGCACAGTGAATGCGTTTTCCTTTAATCTTCTAATATTTCCTGCATCTTTCAAGATTTTGCCCATAGAATCCTTCAGTATTGCAGCTGCTGTTACTGTTATGTTCTGTCAAGTTGGCAATGACATGTAGTGACCCTGTGGACAGTATCTCTGAACCTTGCTTCACTGTGAGCCAAACTCACCATTTCTGACACATCCTACCCTATTGCCACAGCCACTGTGTCAATCCATCTCATCCAGGGTCTTCCTTTTCTGCACTGACCTTTTGTCCTCTAAGCATGATGTCCTTCTCCAAGTACTATTCTTCCCTAGCGACATGCCCAAAGTATGTGAGATGGAGTATCAGAATCCTTGTCTCAAAGCAGCAGCTTAGTCCATGGTAAGTTCAGTACTCTTCTTCAGCACCACAACTCAAAGGCATCAATTCTTTTGGGTTTCAGTTAGAGGTTATTATTTTGGAGAGAGTTAGCAAGAGAACTCTGATGACATGTTGTTAGGTGCTGTCGAGTCAACAATGTCTCATAACAACCCTTTGAAAAACGGATTTGAACCTTGCTTATGCTGTGTCGTTCTCAACATCTCTGATATACTTGAGCCAGTTGTGATAGTGACTATGTCAGTCCATCTTGTTGAAGATCTTCCTCATATTCAGTGACCTTTACAAACATGTTTTTTTCCAAGGAGTGGTGTGCTTCCTAACAACAGACACATAGTATATGGGATGATGTTTCACCCTCTTTGCCTCTGAGGAACACTTTGATTGCACTTTCTCTCAGTCATACTTGTTCGTTCTTTTGACAAGCAGCAGCTTGGCTTTACCCTCTCCAGGACAGACCTGTTTGTTCTCTAGATAGTCCCTGGTAAGTTCAGTACTCTTCTCCAGCACCACAATTCAAAGGCATTGATTCTTCTCTGTCACCTTTATTTCTGAAGGTTTAGTGAATTAAATAAAGGGTTGGTAACTAAAAGGAGGGAAGAAGGGCCGTTTGCTCCCATTAAGTTTATAGCCTTGGTAACCACATTAGGCAATCCTACTCATATTTTTAGGATAACCGAGAATTTAGGTTTATGGTTGTAGATGTGTAAGAGTTGAGTGAAGCAGCATGTATCCATAAAACATGATTGGAAAATTTCATGTGTCGGTCTCTTTTCTTAATTAAAGCTTATATTTTTTTTTAGATGTATTATATTTATTTTGCAGCATGAGAAGTACATGCTTTTAAAAAAGAGTCTTAATGAAAATTGATGTCTTACAAACTTCAAAGAATATAAATCATTGCTGCGCAATAATTACAGTTATTGATGGAACGGTTTTATTTATTCTAGTTGGTTAGAAACAAACTCCGAACATCTTGTAGAAAGAGATTATGAATCATCTTGTAAAATATGGAGTGGGAATGAAATGATTTTGCATTTGCACAAAATGGGCATCACCTCTACCAATTTTCCCATTTTGCAGGTAAAATTTTATTTCGTCTGTGCAATTCATGTTATGAATTTGAAGTTATTTAATAGATTGATCAAGTAATGATTTAATAAATATAGCAAATTGTTTTTTAAATTTTCTTTAATTCCTCAGTTTAAGTAAATTTTAGATTATGTTAAATTACACTTGAAACCATTGTTTAGTTTGAATAAAATTTAAAGAGATTGATTTGTTTGAAGTTAAATAATGTTAAGTTTTAGATTGTAGCTGAGTTTTGTCATTTTCTAAAATTGAATTTTTAATTTTGGAAAATAAAGAGGGAAGAAATCTGTATTTTACTTTCCTAAATTGCAAGGTTATAAGTCTGAGGGTCCATGGATAGAGGTCATGTGTGAATATGGGTGGACTGTGAACCTTGTGATGTATATATAATTTATAGGAGTATGCTACTTTTGCATAATTTTCTGCTTAGGAATTTCATAACTTTCATTGTAGTTCTCTAAGACTTTTTTTTTAAAATTTATTATTTTTGTGTGTGTGTACTGTCAAATCGAATCTGACTGGTACAGGAGGAGATTGTCCCTCCTTCCACGGCAGAACATCGGGTGGATTCGAACCGTGTGCCTCTGGGATTGCAGTGCAGCTTCTTGCCACTAGGCCACCAGAGCTCCCCTAAGACATTTTTTTTTAAATTAAAAAAGGTTAGAATAGTTCCTAACATAATTAATACCCATGTTGTTAAATACTGTCTAGATGAGTATGACTCAGAGCAACCCTGTGAACAACAGATCTGAACCTGTCCTATCCTGTGTCATCCTCATCATCTCCAGCACACTTAAGCTCATTACTGCAGTCACTGTATCAATCTATCCCATTGAGGGTCTTGCTCCCTTTCCTTTCCAAGGAATAACCTCTCCTAGCAACATGTCCAAAATATCTGAGACACTGTTTCTCCATTCTTGCCTCTAAGGAGCACTCAAACTGCACTTTTTCCAAAACATACCTGGTTTTTTTTGAGTCCATGGGATATTCTGTGCTCTTCTCCAACACCAGAGCACAAAGGCATAAATTCTTCTGTCATCCTTACTCATTATCCAGTTCTCAGTTGCATAGCACGTGATTGAAAAGACTTTCAGATACAAAGCAAATGCTAATTACTATAAGCATTCTGGATATATGAATATTAACATAATATTTTTAAACACTATTCCACTAAATTTTAGTCCTTATTTTTTTAATGCTATGAGGTACTGTAGGCATTTTTCCATACTGTGACATCTTTTATTAATCTTTTTATACACAGACATTTTATATTTTAAAAGTCAGTCATACAGCAAAATGGATAAATTGTAGCAAACTGGTATGTAATGTGAAATACTACAGAGCAAGTACAAAGAATGAATTGTTGCCACCACCAAAATACAGATAAATCTTATGAAAGTAATGTTTATTTGTTATGTGAAAGAAATGAGATACAGGAGAGTACAAGCTGAATAGTTTTCTTTTATGGAACTTAAGAACATACAAACTTAATTATGATGAAAGTCTAAATATGATTATCTCATGAGGATACAGTTTTGGCTGGTAAGGGTTGTAAGAAAACCATCTGGGTTTGTGTTTTGTTTGGATATTAGTTATATGAATGTATGTATGTATTTAATTAGATGCAAATTTATTTCTACTGTACTATATGTTATACTTCAATTAAAATGTATAAATAAATTTTACATTCAGAGAAGAATAGGAAATAGCTAAATAGAACAAAGAAAAAAAGTAACGCATAACTAAAATATGACCATTGTTAGCATTTTATATAGGGAGGTGAGTTGCTAACTGAAAGAAAACCTCTGACAGTTTGAATACACTAGCAGTCAGTGGGGGAGATAAGACGGCTTCTCCTATGCAATATACAGTCTCTGAAAACTTGCTAGAGTGTCAGCTATGCATCGGTTCCAATTTGATGGCAGTGAGGTTGAGGAGAGATACATTTTTGTGCATATATTTGCTTATTATAAATGTATATGTTATTTGGTATATGCTTCTTTTTGTTAAAAAAATAATATGGATGCGTTAGGAGAGCCTAGTGGTTAAATGCTCAGCTGCTTCCCAAAAGCCAGCAGTTTAATCCCACTAGAGACTGGCTCAGGATAGGGCAGGGTTCAGAGCTATTGTACATAGGATCACTATGTGTCTTTTGCAAGTGACTCGATGGCTCATAACAACAACATCAGCAACATGGGCTCTTGAGAGAAAAAACTTGGAAATAATCTCCTTTAACAATTAAAACCTAGGAAACCCAAAGGGAAAATTCTACTCTGATCTGTAGAACTCTTAACTGAGCCTCCAGCTGTTTTCAGAGACTGTAAATTTCATGGAAGGAGATTGCCCATTCTTAACCTCAGAGTCACTGGTGTATTTGACCAGCCAGAGAGGCCCCATCTTTGAGTTAACAGAGCTCCCTTCTCACTAGGCCACCAGAGATCCTATTTTGGTTGCATTCTTTTGGCTGGTTTTTTAAAACTTCTTGATAGGCTCTGTGGATGAGAACTCTTAGCAATCAGACCTCATGAAGATTACAATTTAGGGAGAAAAGTGCAACAATGAATGAATGGAAATCCAAAATCTCTCTAAATGTTCATTAAAATTATGAAAATAAAAAAAATATTACAATTTAGGAAATGCTAAAGGAAGTTCTCAGTATCTCTACAGGAATAATCTTGAAAAAGTGTGCTTATGCTTATTTTCTTTTTATGTTCTAAGTACTGATAGTGCCTTGTAAATTATTGCACTGCATTCACATTTTTTTCTGCTTAAATAGGGTATTTTTTACCAAAAGATTTCAAATTTTAGTGCATTAAAATTCAACAATATTTTTTCCTTTTTAAGTTGTACTTTTTGAGTGTAGTTTCTAGCAATATTTCCTTCCCCTTAGTATATTTTTCTTCTCAGTTTAAAGTCTTAAAGTCTTTACTTTTAAGAAAAAATTTTCAATCATCCAGCAGTTTATATTTGTTAATTTTGTGAAGTAAAAGATACATTTTCTCCCTATATGGATGGTTGGATTATCCTAGCACCATTTACTAAATGGTCTACCTTTATTATGTTATCACTGCTACTCATTTAATTTTCATATATGTTATGTAGGTTTATTTTCTGGACTTAATTCTGTTCCAGAGATCTACTTATATTTCCTTAAGTAGGATTTTGCTGTTGTTGTTATGGTGAGAAAAATTTGTATTTAGAATTAACCAGCTGGACCCAGTTTAGATGATCCCAATTTTATTGGCAGCATCCAAAGCATCATAGTCAGGAGCACAGCAGACATAGGCCTTCTTCTCTCCATCAGGCATAATCAAGGTGTTGACCATCAATATCAATGTTATAGAGCTTTTTTACAGCATGTTTGATTTAGTGCTAGTTGTCCTTGACATCCACAATGAACACAAGTGTGTTATTATCGTCTATCTTCTTCATGGCTGACTCAGTGTTCAGGGGAAGCTTAATGATGGCATAGTGGTCAAGCTTGTTTCTCCTGGGGACACTCTTCCAGAGGTATTTGGGCTACCTTCAGAGCATTGTATTTTTTCTATTTGTCCTAAACAATATTCCTATTTCCATCGATATCAAAAGTTACAGATTATGTTCAAACTAATAAGCCAGTTAGCATATATTTTCTATTTCACATAGTCATTCCTGTTGTCATTCTTTTCATTTTGCTTGTTATGAAGAATTAGAGAGCTCATGACGACGTTCATAGGGTTAAAAGTTCAAAATTAGCATGTAGTTAGCTGTGCTGTTAACCCAAAGGCCATGACTCTCTGGCAATTCAAATCTAGAAGTGTCTCAGAAAGAAAGATGGACATTTTCCTCTAGTGAGATTTATAGCTTCAGAAAACCTGCTGGTGGGTCAGCTATGAGTTTGTTCTGAGTAAACAACAATGAATGAACTTTTATTTTATAATCATATTTTTCTCAGTATTAGAGCTAATTTAGCATTTTTCTCATTATGGGATATCATTTGGCTTTTATGATGGCATAGAATCTCTTAAGCCATTTGGTACATTTTTAGTTAGCTCATAATTTTTGAAGGGTATTAAATAACCTCCTAATTGGACAACAAAATAATGAATCTCCTAAATGTCTAGCTTGTTAAAGTGTCTTTGAGGATAATTAGGCTTGTATGGGAATTCAAAGTACACTGTTATGCATTGTCTGTTAATGATGTTAGTTCAAATTTCAATGACAATTTTATTTACGTGTTATTATAGTTTTGAGAAGTTCTCTCACACCTCCCCTACTATATTGAACATAATATGGTAATGTCTTATAGGGACATCTTTCTACTGTTCTTCAAAAGGAAGAAAAAGTTGCACCAATTTATGGGAAGGAAGAATCAAGAGAAATACCCATTATTAGTGCCTCAACTCAAATAGTACTCAAAGGACTTTTTATGGTGCTTGAATATCTTTTTAGGCAAAATAACAGGTGAGTGAAGACATCTTACTCGTATTTTTCATCTTAAGTATATTAGCCTTCTTGATTGTTAACATGAATTTATGGTTAAGTAGGGAGCTCTTGTGGCTTAATGGTAAAGGGTTACACTGCCAACCCAACGCTGTTCAGATCCACTAGTTGCTCCACAGAAGTAAGATGGGCAATCTCCTTTTATATGATTTATTGCCTATAAAAATCCACTGGATGGTCAACCAAGAGATGGTTCCAACTCGATACGAATGTACAGAATAGCAACAACAGTGGTTAAGTATATAGCTATAAACCTGTGATATGGGCATGATAATGTGTTTAGTCTTTTTTGGCATAGACTGAATCAATTGAAATTTGTTATTGTTGACATTAAGTCAACTACAATTCTTAATGACCCTAAGAACAATAGCTCTAAATCTTGTTCTATCCTGAGCCAACCTCACCATTTCTGACACTGCTGACCCCATTGTCCACTGTTATGTGCCATTGAGTCACCTGCAATGTGTAACGACTCCATGTACAGCAGCTCTGAATCCTTCCCTGTCCTGAGCCAGTCTCACTAGTTCTGACACATCACCCTCCATTGCCCTAGTCACTGTATCAATCCATCTCATGCGGGGTCTTCCTCTCCTGCACTGTCCATCCACCCTTCCAAGCATGATGTCCTTCTCCAAGGACCGATCTCTCCTAGCCGTACGCCCAAAGTAAGTGAGGCAGAGCTTCAAAATTCTAGCCTGCAAAGAGAGACTTGGTTTTACCTCTCCAAGATAGACCTATTTGTTTTCTTGGCAGGCCACGGTATGCTCAGGATTGTTCTCCAGCAACACAACACCACAATTCGAAGGCATCTGTTCTTCTGTCATAGATAGATAGATAGATAGATAGATAGATAGATAGATAGATAGATAGATAATTAACTCTTAAAACATTCTTAACTTGCAATAAAAATTACCTTTCCATCTTTTAATGAAAGAAATGTAACTCCTCTTTTAGTTTCTTTATACTAATACAGTTTTGTTTTATAACTACATGTATTAACTGTACATGTAACATACAGTTCTAGTACAAGGAGTTAGGGAGCCTGAATTTTACTTAATTCTTTTTGAAAATGGTAAAGGACAGGGTAATAAGAGGTAAATTATATGATTTTAAGCTGTTTCTTGTAGGAATGAGTTGATTTTACTGTTTAATGCTTAACTTATAGCAGAAAGGTTGTCGTGGGGTGAAGGTTGACTTTGAGTGGTAAGATAATGACATTCTTGACTGAATTTTTATATAATCAATTTAAAAAGTTATGTGCAGGTAATATATTTTGTGTGTTTTAAAGTTTAATTAGCATTTTATATGAGTTTTAAAATTTAATTATAATTTTCTTTTCATCTAGTTTTGCAGATGATTATAAAGTTGCTATTCAACAGACTTACTCTTGGACAAACCAGGCTGATATTTCTGATAGAAATGCATTCTTTGCTGTACCAAAAAATAAGAAACGTTCTCGACAGAAAACTGTAGTTCGTATGTTAAATTTTTGGTGCTTAAATCCAGCTGTGGTAAGCCTGTTATGTTGTAAATGTGAATCTTTGGTTTTGCTCGATACTAATAATTAAATAGATATGTTTTACTTTTTCAAAAATTATATAAATTATTATTTCCTTTTAGGCCTTTTCAGATATTAATGACAAAGTTCGGACAATTGTTTTGACATCTGGAACATTATCACCAATGAAATCTTTTTCATCAGAACTTGGTGTTACATTTACCATCCAACTGGAGGCTAATCATGTCATTAATAACTCACAGGTTAGTTTTTATTTTTTAAAGCCTTCAGACTTTCTACCTTAATATAATTTTGTAGAAACTGGGTAGAAGGTACCTAATGCCAGCAGTTGGACTATTATGGAGAGTAAACATTTCCGTTTTAAAAGAAACTAAAATCTAGTCGTTTCTACTTGATAGAATTGACAAAAGAAGTCCTAATAAATAGCATTCTTTCAACTCAGCTAACGAAAATGTACATATTGAATGTGTATACAATATAATAATATACTAATTCTAATTAATCTTTGTTTTTACCTGCGAAAACGTAAAACAAAAATTTTGATTCTTTAATCCAGTTACTGTTGTATATGTAGTTACTTAAGTTTCACTGTTTTCTTTCAGTCTCTGACATGCCTTTTTTAGATCCTCTTTATTCCTTTATACTTAGATTTTTCCATGGTTGAACATATAATTGAATAAACTATTAACCCTATGATTTTCAAATCATTTGTTCAGCTCTCTGCATCATTTCGTCCCTTCACTCTAGCTTTTTTCATATTCAAAACAAGTTTCAGAGTCTCTTCTGACATTTTTAAAAAATTTTTTCTTTCTTTCCTATATTTTTTAGTGATACTTTCATCTCCTTCTCTTCCATATTTCTACATCTTTTATCCTCAGTAAAACCTTTGTTCTCTGAAAGCATCAATATACTTATTTACTTTTTTACTCTGTGTTCCTATAGATACACAATACTAAGATAGCAGTGATAAAATGCTACTACCATTACTAATAGAAACTCAAGGGGTTTTTTCTGCAGCTGTTTGTTTGATTATTAAGATTCTATTCCATTAAAGGTTTATAGTTGCAGTACTGTATTCCAAAGTTAGTTGACATCTGTGAGAGTGTGTGTTTAGTTGGATATACCAATACAATTAGTTTCATTTTCTGTTTGCCTTTTTGTTTGTTTGTTTGGAGCAGAGTTGCCTCCTCAAAGTAGAGTTTTTCTGAATAATGTAGCGAGAGCAAAGCTTTCAGCAAGTGAAAAAAAAAAGTTCTTGATTTTGTCTTAATAGCAAGATTCAAAAAGAGTAAAAACAGTTACAAATATTGAGAATTAGCATGTGGAAAATACAAATTATGAGTCTAGGAAAATGCAAAGTTGAAAAATATGAAATAGAACACATAAAGATCAGTGTATCCTAGGCATTAGTGAACTAAAATTAACTGGTATTGGTCATTTTGATAAATAAGCATATTTATCGTAGGCAGATGATATGATCTGCTGTTTTGGATCTGACAAGTTGAAGAGAAATGATGTCACATTCATTGTTAAATCCCCCTCCCCAACAATTCATACTATAAGACCATTATTGTAGAAATAAATAACTAGTAAAATGTATATGAGGATCTAAGGGAGGGAAGAGTGGGAGCTGAGGGGGAGGATGTTGGGGGGGTTGTTAATCATAAGGTCACACAATTTGATGCATGGAGGGAGAGGTGGATTAAGGATATGGGAAAGATCCAGAATGAAAAACAATGTATACTAACTTCGTAAGTAAACAAGTAGAAAATAAAACTTTTATTTTTTAAAAAAGAGCATTTCAAGCTCTCCCCTGTAGTATGATGCTGTCAGTGATAGGATAATACCCATATGCATAAAAGGAAGATCTCTTAATATGACTGTTACCCAAATTTACAAACAAACCACTAAAGCCAAAGAAGAAATTTCTTATTTCTACAGACTTTTGTGGTTTGAAATTGGTACAAATAACCAAGATGCATTAATAATAACTGATGATGGGATTGAAAAGTAAGTTAGAAACAAGACGTGTTAATAGTTTGAAAATAGGCGTTAATGATAGAAATGAGACAGAAGATGCATCATGGAATTTTGTACAATAGTTTATTAACTGCAAAAGCCGTTTTACAAATTTTAAATGATGATACTCAGATGGAGAAAGACTAAAATCCTCTAACCCGCCTTTCCTAAACCATGCAGCAGCCTCTTACTCTGCTGGAATGACTACTTTGTATGTCTGTGTACAGCGTGTGTTCATAAGAACACATTTAAATGGTATGGAATTAAAATTCTTCTCAATATTAACTAAAATCTGTATGATCCATATAGTGAAATATCTTTATAGATTAAATCTTTAAACAATTAAAGGTAATTGGAGAATAACATTTTAAAAATAAATGCCTTTTTTTCTTTCCCATTATCTTTCCCCTTCCTTCTTTTTTTTAACATTTATACATATCTTGATCAGTTATTCAATTTTCATAAGTGGCTTTATGCAATATTCGTCCTTATGTGACTGAGATATTTCACTCAGCACAATAATCTCTAATCTCTCCCAAGTTATATAGTATTTTACAAAATCTTTATTCCTTCGTGCTACATAGCATTCCACTGAGAGAATGTACCACAATTTCTTAATCCATTCATTTGTTGATGGGCATTTGGAGGGTGGGAGAAGGGGAGTTAATGGAAAATGTTCAATGGAGACTTGAAAAGATGGGGTGATAATAGGCATAGAGAAATGATAATTATATAAAATATATTGTGTATTTAAAAAGAAAAATATATTGTGTATGAATGGTTATACAAAACAAGAGGTATATGGATGATTATATGCAAACCAATAAAAAAATTTAAAAAGGTCTTAAAAACTTGCTTGATCTCTTGACACATACGTAATTAAGGCTTCTAACTAAATAAGAATTTGCCTGCCTTGAGTATGCATTATTTCAGTACTAAAACATTCACATTCTAGGTTTGGGTTGGCACCATTGGCTCAGGCCCCAGGGGCCGGAATCTCTGTGCGACGTTCCAGCACACTGAAACATTTGAGTTCCAGGATGAAGTGGGAGCACTTTTGTTATCTGTGTGCCAGACTGTCAGCCAAGGAATTTTATGTTTCCTGCCATCTTACAAGGTAAGATAATTTTAATTGGTTTTTGTTTATTTGATTTTGTTGCCTTTAGAAAAATCATATGTAATTATCATTAGCTTCCTCAAAGAGATGGATCGACACAGTAACTGCAGGAGTGGACTTAAGTATGTCAGAGATGGTGAAGATGGCACAGGATAAGGCAGGGTTCACAGCTGTTGTTCACAGGGTCACTGTGAGTCATACTGGACTCGATTGCACCTAACAACAACAAGCATCAACTGTTGTTTCACTTATTTGGTGATTGACTAAGATATACCATTGTTATTTATAGGGAGTGTAGCAGAAGTGCCAAAAGTGGCTGGCTTTAACAAACAAAATAATTTTCTCACAATTTAAAAGTCAGACATCCAAATTGAGTATGCTGACTCTAGGGGAAAGCTTTCTCTCTCTGTTAGCCCTGGAGGAAGGTCTTTGTCTTTTTCAACTGCTGCTTCTGAGAAGTCTCCATGTTTATTGGGATCTCTCTTCCTGTCTTTTCTGTCTTCTTAGTTTACTTGTGTAACCTCATTATATCTCAAGAGAAATTGACTCAGTATACACTGTACATTAATCCTGCCCCATTAACATAGCAAAGACAACCCATTCTCAACTGGACCTGATACCATAGGCATCTCAAAATCATTGCTATGAGCCAGAACCAATTTATAGCTGACCTCTCAGCAGGTTTTTGGGAGGCTGTACATGACATCTTTTTGCCACTGAGGCATTGGTGGAATCAAATCACCAGAGAGATACCATCTTTGGGTTAATGTCCTATAGATGGTGCTAGCAGAGCTCCTTAACCACAGGCAAAGAGGTTAGGATTTTCAGGGTAAATAATTCTGTCCATAACATGAGAACTGTGTACATTATTCTTAGAGGCAACTTGATTTTTTCGCAGTTGAAGGAAACAGAAACATCCTTTTTTGTGTGATTTGATTGAGAAGAACAAAACAAATTGGTTTTTCATTCAACCATTTATACACATTTTGTTTTGTGACATTAATTACAAAACTCACAATGAAATCATAATTTTTCCACTTCTTACCAGTAATTATAATATTTTTAAAATCCTTCTGTCCTATTCCTTCCTGGTTTCTGAGCTTTCTCCTTGGGAAAATGCTGTTCTTTTGGACTTATATGACTCAAAGGTGTGAGTTTTATTGGTCACTTTCTACTTCGTTCCATTGTTTGACTAAAAGATAAGCCTGGAGGCGTGAATTTTATTCCATATTTAAAAGGTGATGTCATCTTGAGGGTTCCACTGGTCTATCTATATTGGACTAGTTAGCCTGACCTTTTAAATATTTTTTAGTTTTATTCCACTCACTTTATCCAGGATCCTCTCCTGTGATACATTTTAGAGTGATTAGTGGTGTTAGCCAGTCACCATTAATTCTTCTGGTCTCTGGCTTGTGGAAGTTGAAGTTTTCACGGTCCATTAATTGCTTTAGTACATCTTTGTTTTCCTTTTGTTCCCCCTTCTTTGTTGCAGAGAGGGAAGGAACCAATTCTTGTGCCTTAGATGACTGCTCACAGACCCTGGTTGCCAAAGTAGGATGTAGAACATTGTCTTTGTGGACTATGCTGTACCTATTGACTTTCGTATCTCTCAATGCTATGGTCCCAAGACTCCAAAACTAGCAAGTCATCTCCTCATAGAGTTAGGTTATGATTAAGAAGCTTACTAGCATTGCCTCCTGTTGGCTCTTGTATATACATAGATGTATTTACAGCATGTACAAGTACTAATAGGAATGTAGAACTATCATAACCAAACCTTTGTATGGTCATGAGAATAGTCTTTTTCACCTGTCTATGAGAACAAGTGAATCTTTTCTGGAGAGGATGAAACCAAGCTGCTCCTTGGAGGCAAGGGGGTTTTAGCGTGTCTCACATACTTTGGGCACGTGGCCAGGAGGGACCAGTCTTTGGAGAAGAAAATTATGCTTGGAAGGGTGGAGAGACTGCCACAGGAGAGGAAGACCATGAATGAGATTAATTGACACAGTAACTGGATAATGGGGATAGGTGTTTTGGAGACAATGAGATTGGCCCAGGATAGAGCAAGTTTCAGTGGTGCTAGTGTGCATAGGGTCAATATGACTTGTTGATGTGTGTATATTTTACCTGTCTGACTATATCACTGCTATTGACTCATTTCTTATGTACCTGTCAGTGTCTCCCCTTTCTATTGTGACACTATGCTGATCATCCCTTTATTGTATATTATCTTTCCCAGCACCCATCTTAGTATTACTTGCCAGTTATTTAATTACTGATTTTTTTTTCCTTTCCCTTCTGATATTAAGCATTCTTAGTTATGCCTTTGATTGGTTCAGTGCTCAGAATCTAATGCCAAATTGTTTTTGTTGTTGGTTATATTTTTGCTTCATGCTTCTGGCCAGAAAAAAAATTTTTTTTCTTGTTGTATTTAGAGTTACTCTACTTTTTAATATTTTCTTGATTTAAATTAAAATTATATCATGTATTTTGAGGATAGCCTTTAGCCAAGTTCCATACTGCTCAACTATGACCTAGTCAGATGTCTGTGTGGATCAAGCTTCAGGGTTACACCACCACTCCATACGATTTACACCTCTGCACGTCAGCAAGGTACACAATCTCTGAGAGGATATCCTACCTGTCCCCTGAATTGACAAAGCACCATCCCTAGCTAGGCAGAGTGCCCTATGCTTCTCTAAGGCCAACAGAAACTTCATCCCAAGCCGGGTTACCTGTCCTTAGATGCAGCTGTTTAAACTGTTCACTAACCCACACAGGCACATGATGCTAAGCATGTTGGAGCCTCCTCCCGGGCACTGCCACCTCTTCAATGCCCAACGATAGTATACTTGAGTGCATGGAGAGTGTACTGTTCCAAATGTAGATGTAACACGTGCCAGCCTGGCTTCTGTCAATCTCGGAGCTGGTTGCAGGCTAAGCCACCCCTGCCCCAGTACACCACAATCCACTGGCACCCAGAGGTAAAGAGAGAATAACTTAATGTAAAACTGTGCATGTATTCTCGGTGCCACATACAAAATGACCCAAGGCTGAGCAGAGCTGGGATAGGATTAGGAAAACACTTGGCAGATAGCTATGGAGGGAAAGTCATTCTCTTGATCAACTCCCCTGAGGGTATGGGGAGCTGACCCCTGTCATCAGCCAATCACTGATTGGTGTGGAAACATGCAGTCTTGATTCCTGAACCTATCAGAAAGCTGCCTGTAAAGTTCAAATTGGCTGCACTGTGTCAGGTCCATTCACAGTTCAGTGCTCCATCTATCTCTTTATTTAGTTTTAGTTCAGCCAATGAACTACTTGTTTATTATTTCCTTTGAAACTCGGAGTTCTAGGATTATCACCTGTATCTATTATATTTATTTTCTGGTGTCTTTGTAGAAGGCCTGGAATAGGTAGTGTCCCTCTCGTCTGACATCTTGCTCCAAGGATCTTTTAACAAATTTATTGAGAGAGAATGCTCCTTTTCAGAGAGGACTCTAAGATCGTTCATTCCTATACAAAGAGTTAACACTACAAGAGATCCTACTTTTACTTTTGAACAGAATTCCTCCCTATACCCCCTAAAAGTGTGCAACTGACTGTATCACTATTGGCTGAAAGTTTAATCCTGATACACAAGGTGAAGATACTGAGATAGATTTTATCTGATAGCTGGAGTATAGAAAATTGTCTCGATAGAAGTTAACATCTTAAATTTTCTCCTATTTTTTGTTAGAATACAATAAGAAATATGGATACACCATCCTTACTTTAACTTAAAGGTTATAAAAATACTGCTTTATTTTCCATTTTTATTACTATTTAAAAGAGACTATATTTTGCTTCTAACATATTCCACCTGTTGGTACCTATCAACTAAATATAAGAAAGTAAACATTTCTTAAATATTAGTAGCTCATGAAATGAATAGTGAAGAATCATCCTCAGCTGGAAAAATGTGACAGATTTTACCTATGAAATAAATTATGTGAATAAGATTGCAAAAGAAGGTAGTTCTGTTTGGGCAGGCCTATTAAAAGCATTAAGACTTGAGTACTGGCTGTTAAAGCAAGTAAATGGCAATATTATAAAGTTAAACACATGCCAAAAAACATTTTCCAGAGGACTGGGATTGTAACAATACCATTAATGAGGGCAAAGAGGTCTTAATGCAATTTGCACTTTCTAAAGTTTCAAAAAGAAGTTTTGAGTTAGTGCATTATTAATGTACTGAACATCTGGAACTGTGTAAAAGCTGTGGACATTTGAGTGAATGCAGGATTTCCCTACTAGATTGTATTCTAACCGATTGCCTCCCTAGTGAGATACTGGTTTTAAGTTCAAAAAAGTAAAATAGTAATAGCCAAGTAAGACATAAACATTCCAAAGTGTCTTCTAATTTATAAAATCTGACTGAAAACCAGTAATTGTTTCTGATGGTAACACATCCATGTGATATGAACACCAATTAGTAAATAAAATCATCTGTATCAGTATATGTAGACTAATCTCTGTGTGAATATTATTTGCCCTTTTATGAGCTATAAAGTAAAATATCTTATAATGAAGAAGCATCACATTTTTCATATAACTGAGGCTTAAAACCCAAAAGAAGAATCTCTATCCCTAAGTTTCTCTAAAATATTTGACTTTTTAGGTGCCTAGTTATGTTACTTTAAAAAAATTTAAAATAAATTTATTTATGTGATTTCTCTGACAAGATGGAAATAATTAAGATGTATAAACATGCAATTTGAATGTCACTTGCAATGAGAATGGAAAAGCTACAGGCCTAAATATTTTGTTATCTAAAACTGAAATTTTGGTAGAGTATTTTCACAGAAATAAGCAGTATGGTTTTACAGTAGAATTACACTTCAGCTTTACAGGTAGCTCTTGTATAATCTTAAATGGAAACTTTTATGGTACTTTAAGAAAATCTGCACTGAAGAAATGAAAATAAAAATTGTGTTCTTTGTAAATACTGTATCATAATC